AATCCCACTGTGGAAGGTGGAGACCGGTCCTTCCGATGACACCGTATTAATCGAGCTTCCGTGTCGATCGCAGCAGATGCAGGTACAAAAAAGATTTCTCATGCTCAATGGCTGTAAGTGCATATATGCTCGTAGGTCAGAATTTGTAGCCCTCCACGGGCAGCAGGTGGCATCTCCATATGAGTGAAAAATTCTCTAGAGGGACATTAAACAACAAACAAACAATCAATCAATCCACCTTTTCTTTCAATATAACAAAATAATGTAGTTCTACGCAACAAGGTTAGCTTTTTAAAGAGCATATTATTCAATGTTTTGTGATGAACCAGGGTTTCCTTTAATACAGTGACTTGAGTGAGTATAGGCCAGTATCCGTAGAAGAAATGGGTTTCACTCCCGTAAGGTCCAAGTGAAGAATCGGCAAAATGATCTCAGAAAACATCGAGATATGTACTGGTTTTTATTTCTTAAAACAAAACAAGATATTATAGAAGAAATGAGAAAATCCTAATTGATATCGATTGAAAAGAAAAACTGTAAACGATTTTAAAACCGCACATTGTTAGAAACAGTAAAAAAAAACAAAAAAACAGCAAAAAAAAAAAAAAAAAACAAAAACAAAAAAAAAAAAACGAGCAAATGTTAAATTGCCCAACTTTAATTTTAATATTGAAAGGAATATTTTTTGAAATAACTATGAATGTGAAAAAGTAGTACATGTAGTCTTAAATTTTGAACAACGTGTGATGATTACATAAATACATGTATCCATGAAAACGTAATAAAATTATACAGTAGTTTTACAAATGTGAAATTAGATTATTTTGAACAGGTAAAATGCATATAAAGGAGATAAACAGTTTAAATCAATTTAAAATTATAGTATGCAGATACATATGTAGTATCGCTTTTTAAAGTGAGGGGGCGGAGGAGGGGGTGCCAAATTACCTAAAAAACCTAATTAACAAGCAAAAAAAGGTAAATCGTATTTCGTTGAGGTAGTGAGGTCCTTCAATTCCAATCCAGCAACAACCAGAAGTCTCTATCGAGACTGTAGCTCTACTGGTACTTATAACAAAGGATGATAAAAGAAGTCGTTGCCATCAGACCAAAACTGTAGGAGGGGTAGCTTTTTAAAGGAATTTTACAGAAAATTCTATTTTTAGTAACCATGGCAACATCGTTCATCGAAATCAAAAACCAATGCACTATTTTATGTATCTTAGTGTAGTCTACTTGTGTGCCAAGTTATATTGAAATCAGACCAAAACTGTAGGAGGAGTAGCGTTTTAAAGGAATTTCACAAAAATTTCTATTTTTAGTAACCATGGCAACACCGTTCATCGAAATCAAAAACTGATAAATCATTTTATGTATCTTAGTGGAGTCTACTTGTGTGCCAAATTATATTGAAATCAGACCAAAATTGAGGAGGGAGTAGCGTTTTAAAGGAAATTCACAGAAATTTCAAATTTTAGTAACCATGGCAACACTGTTCATCGAAATCAAAAACCGATGCACTATTTTATGTATCTTAGTGTAGTCTACTTATGTGCCAAGTTATATTGAAATCAGACCAAAACTGTAGGAGGAGTAGCGTTTTGAAAAATTGTTTACAGACAGACGGACAGACAGACAGACAGACGGACGGACGACGGACACCTTACTATCGCATAAGCTCTTCTGGTCTCTGACCAGTAGAGCTAAAAAAAGGGGCTTTTCAGTGGACAATTTGCAATGGAAGTAGGTTCTGTTTGCAAAAAATCAACAATAACAAAAACGAGGGGGGGGGGGGGGCAGGCCCCTCCTGATGCTACGTGCCAGAAATATATTTTTAAGAATTTAACCCCCATCCCCGCAATCGCGCATTTTAATGCATATACCGTTGCCCCACAATCACGCACTTTAACGCATATATCGTTACCCCACAATCATGCACTTTAATAACGCATATTTCGTTTTGGACGTTTTCTGCTCAAATAATTCGTACAGTTTTGATTGTATGGCAATAAATGATGAGATAATAAATTTTGTACAATAAATTTCGCAAAAAAGTATTTTTCTCATTTTAATATGTCCGAGTCCTTCGATTTATTAGACAAAACTTGGGATGCGAGACAAATTAGGAAGGTCTTTCTTTTGACACTAAATAAGCTCACTACTTTGAACCACTAGGTTGGTGATGTAGATATCCCGCAGTCTTATGTGAGATGGGACCCTTGACCGAGAATTTTTGAAATTCGACAAATGAATTTTCTATGTGAAAGTTTGATAAAAGCGTGTGCAGAAATCGACAGAAGGAACGGGTAAAATTTCAACTTATGTAGGTTAATTAAAATTTGAATGATTCATTGTCAAGTTAACGTTCCAATATCCGTAAAAAAAAACCTTGCACATACTCGCATGTTTTGATTTTTTCAAATATACTTTTATACATAAAACAATGTATTCGGGAAAATTTTATTGCAAATATACTGCATATTTGTTTGATATTTTAAAAAACAGGGATGAGCCAAAGCTCACTAGTAATACCCCGCTCTGATGTGAAAATACAATGTTAATTAAAATTTACACAAGTTCAGTTATGGTCAGTTGCACGGACAATTACGAAGTAATAAAAATAAATCCAACGATATGGCATGCCACAATAAAATGTGTGCTAACGGATAAACAGGATCGGATCTTAACAAAAATAGATCCCATCATATGCCGAAGAGAAGAATGTTCTAAAATTTCAAGCATTTGACTTGTGATGAGTTGTTGCTGTGAGAACTGCGATCGAAACTTTATTACGTACAGCTACACAGGCAGCTAGACATACGGACAAACACATTTAACATTCACCTTGTGAATGAACAGTTAAGACGTGCATGACTGTATTCAAAGGGTAGTGCAGAGATACATGTATGAATAGCAATGCATTTAGGCGCTTAAAACTTCATGCATAGGTAGAGGTGGGGGGGGGGGGGGCGGAGTGGGGGTAAACATCTTTGACCAACAATATCTAAATTATTCCCTACAATTTATCTCCGGAATTATATTCAGCATTTCCGGCATTTTTTTCTTCGATCACAAGCTTGTTAATTAGAAGGACTGATTAGAAATTAAGTAGTCCATTGAAATCAGGATTGCAATACAACTTCAAACTATATAACGATATCATGGGATTTGCCTGCGCTCGACCTAACAACAGTTAAAAATTGGGGGATTGAGTCAACCAGCATGTAAAGGAAAATTTACTATAGCAAAATCTATACTCGAAAATAAGGGTGGGGGGGGGGTGTTTCTACAGGCCTGATTGACGATTAATTTCGTTTTATAACAATATAATCGTTCTTTTTTTTCTTTTTATAATAGCCATATACATGTATTTGGATAAAAAAAAGTAATTAATCTTACAAGAAACTTGGTGTTTGAAAAATAATTTAAAAAGTCATGAAGTCGAATTTGAAATGTAAACAGAATTTGTTGTCTTGGAAAATATTTGCCAAACATCGAGCTCCATAAAGAACATGAATTATTTGCATTTTTCAAAAGTGATAAAACACGTTCTATGACACTGCTGTGTTTATTGCATCCTATTTGTAACATTGTACGCATATATATATACTAAAGTAAATCACAATGTAATCGCCATTACGAATGAGGGTAATTTAACGCTTACAAGAAATGGGGTGGGAGATAATTCGGTCCAACACGCTTCATGCAGATATCTGGGAGTAGTTCATAGAAGTCAAAGCAGAGACATATAAACCATGGTTTTATATGTCTCTGGTTAAAGGAATATTTTGAATTCGAGCTTTTGTACCATTGAAGTGGGAATTTGGAGAAATTAATCCAAAACTGAGCGCAACTTTTTGTGCACAATAAAATACATTTTTTTCTATGGGTGGCACTGTAGATCTCTGATCCTCTCTCCCAATTTTTTCAGACCAGCGAACTTCATGCAAGTCTGCGGCTACCGTGACACATGTTGTGACACTTTGATAATTATTAAAACAACTCACTTACTGTGATTGTCAGAACATATTGATATCTGGCGCAATCAACAACTGAACAAACAGTATTAAGTGTTTAACAATTTCACAGACCCTGACGTATGGGTCCCTCCTTAGACCCCCTTTTTTATTTGATGTGGTTTAAAAATATCGTGCTCGCAATTTTTAATGCTAGCAAAAATAAAAACTGATTAATGAATGTGATTGACGGGGAAATCGTAGGTATATGTTGTAGAAATTTACGGTCTAAATCTATTTCATATACATGTAATAAAAACACTCTATCACCACGTTAGTGTATATGTGCAACATTAGGCTTTTGATGTTACTTTTTTATACCAATATACAGTGTGTCTTAAGGTAAAAAGTTCTTTTTGTAATATAAATACGTTGTGTACCAGTGAAGTTTGAAATGAAGTTTAATTTTCAGAAAAAGTTCCAAATATTCGACTATCGTTCGAATAATGCTATCGAATAGTCCACTAAGGAAAATAAATATTTTGACATCCCTACTACTTTTAGCCCTTTCCTAACCCTATTGTTTATAATTTGACCAAAATTAAATTCATACATGTATGTCGGATTGTATGATGTTGTAATATTTTCATATGAATTTGATTTATGCACCCTGATAGATTTTCACAAATACATATTTTCATGCAAAACTTTTAACCACTGTGCAGCTCTATACCCTCGCATTATAATTATAGACAATAATTAAAAAAAAACTTAATCTATGCTCATTAAGGAAACTCTTGGATAACATTTGTTTCATATAACTAAATGGTTCTTAAAATGATAGTTTTGTTAAAATGGCATTAATTATCCAATTTTTCATTTTTCCCATTGAGAAAGATGCAGCCCTTTATTTGAATAAGCTTTATTCCTTTTCAGCAGAGATACATTTTACCAAATGTGGTTAACATCAATTTGACCAAATGTCAGAAAAAAAATTAGAAAATGTTAAAAGTTAATGGAGGACATGCAGTCAAACATATAAAAGCCCCGTGGGGATCCGGGCTAGAATAGGTCCTCAGTACCCCCTTGCTTGTCGTAAAAGGCGACTAAATGGGGCGGTCCTTCGGATGAGACCGTATAAACCGAGGCCCCGTGTCACAGCAGGTGTGGCACGATAAAGATCCCTCCCTGCTCAAAGGCCCTGAGTGCCGAGCATAGGCCTAAATTTGCAGCCCTTCACCGGCAATGGTGACGTCTCCATATCAGTGAAATATTCTGGAGAGGGACGTTAAACAGTATACAATCAATCAAACATATAAATGTTGCATTGTTGGATACCAGAGACTTCTTTTTAGCAGAATTGTGCAATTGAACATTTGGATCAGGTGAACTTCATTCCATATCCATGTTTAGCTATGGACCTTACTGTTTAACTAGGTGTGTTATATCTCCTTGACGTAATGTACACCATATGCAATGTAAATTCAAGGCAAATCACTTCAATATACTAAATACTGTTAAAAGTTAATACTGGTACAATTTAGAAGATCTGAATTCCACTGGCAACTGTCAAGGGCAATCAACTCTCACTTATAGATGAATCAGTTTGTTTTTAAATGAACTTTTAAAGCTTTATTTCATTTGTCACAACAGATTTGGTTTCCCTTCCGAGAAATATTTTCAGCACTGGCTGGCTCTCTCAGCTGGGCATTCAAGCATTTGAAAAGGCTGATTGGTTTGTTTTTTTTTCTGATGAAAGCTAGGAATATTCTTTTGTCCTGGTTTTCTTCTTCAGCCCACAATTATGCATGCATCTATACTGAAATTAAATTTCAATTAAATGATGAGTTAATCATGCATGTTTAAAACACTTCCAATAAATAAAAAAAGATAATTCTGAGAGTATTGCATAAGCTACTGGCAAGTGTAATCTGATTCTCCTGAAAAATCGAAAAAGGCTACAGTTCTGTTAAAACCAACAAAGTGGAATGAACTGCAAACTTGATCTGTAACTTATCAAGATACACTCACATATACTAAAAATCAGCTTAATACACATGTTTCTGTAAGTGTTTACAAAAAAAATCCAGATAACAAATTGATAAGTGCATGATCAGATAGACTGATGGACAGATAAGGGGGGAAACCTGTAGTCCCATCCATTTTCACTGGTAGGGGATTAAAATAATTACATAATTATGGTGTACAAATTATAGACTCACTAGAACAGGGTGCATATCATTACCGCTACATTTTCGAAATTTTCATTACTGCTACATAGGCATTACCGCTACAAAAAATGTTACATTACCTCTACACATGAAAGTATACATTACCGCTACATTTCCTCTTTTGTTAGCCAGCCACTTGTGCATGTACAGTACAACCTATACATATATATAAGACCTGTTTCCGTGCTCATAACGGGGAGGTGAAAGGAGGACTTTGAGCAGGATGGTTTGTTTTATTATTATTAAAATCAATTTTATTTATAAAACACAAAAAATGAAATCTAATACTAATTATTCTTCGAGGTCTCTTTTGCAGCTGCTTTTGCAACTCTTTTCAACGCATCTCCACAAGTTTGAGTTTTTTGAAAGTATTATTTTTTCTAAATTTATAACCATTGATAAGTAAGCCGGCATTCCCTCGATTTGTAACAAACTTCTCAATGGTGGTCATAATGTTCAGATGACACTTAATAATTACTTTTCCATTGCAGAGTTATTTATATATAAATATATACTCATTCTGATTAGAATTCAAATCAAAATTGTACTTCACTATATAGTGAGTGAATTCTGTTTATTAGAACTCAAATACTGAACCATACCTGGCTAAATCGATATGTAGCGGTAATGAGTTGTTTTTGGCTGATTCAATAATTATATGTAGCGGGAATGAGTTGTTTGCGGCTGGAAAAATGTAGCGGTAATGATCGGTCGCATATCTGAAACAAGAGGCCCATGGGCCACATCGCTCACCTGAGAAGCTTTGGCCATTCTGTTCTTTACCAAATTTCCCCCTTGTAATACATATTGTGACCCCACCCTATCCCAATGATCATAATTTAAACAATTTGAATTCTACACTTCCCCAGTATGCTTCCACATAAGTTTCAGTTTTTCTGGCCCAGTGGTTCTTGAGAAGAAGATTTTCAAAGATTTTTTATATATATTTCTATGTAAACATTGATTCCTTGTTGTGGCCCCGCCCAACCCCCGGGGGTCATGATTTGAACAATTTAGAATCTACGCTAAAAATGTAGCGGTAATGCGTTGAAATTTTTGACAATGTAGCGGTAATGTTGACCTCCCCTAGAACAGTAGTATATTTGTTAATTTTAATCATAAAAAATATTGATCTTAGTAGGTGTATGCACACGATGTGTCAAAGTAGAACATGCTAACTAAATAAATTAAGTAAGCTGGGGAGGGGGGCTTCAACAAATTAAACATTTGCAGATCATATAACTTATTTTTTTAGATATTTAATTATTTAATTAATTGTTTAAATGGATATGATATCTTAAACATTTGCAGATCATATAACTTATTTTTTTAAGATATTTAATTATTTAATTAATTGTTTAAATAGATATGATATCTTAAGCTGTCAACTATCATTTGGTATGGGAAAATTCATACATTTTAGCTTTAAAATCTGATCATTTTTGTATATCTTTATGTGGAGCTCTTCTCCTAAAGGAGATCAATATAGTCTGAAAATGGCTACAACCAGTTACTCAGCCCTCTTAAAAGGAAAATTCCATATTTAAGGGCACAGTTGTAATAAAACAAAAAAGACTAAGAAGTATGGAAAACTAAATGGGACAGACTGACGGTTAGACAATCAAGAAAAAACTATAGTCCCCTCCAGTTTCACCAACTGGCCATGGGGACTAATTAAATAAGAAGTTTACAACCCCCCCCCCCCCCCCCCCCAAAAAAAATAAACATGTTTAGTGATGTTAAAAGACCAAACTTTTTTAGATTGAGGATTTCTTTAGAAAGTGATAATCTTACATTTGGTGATTAAGACACAATTATATTCACATAAAATTTTAATGAATAATGAGTCTAGAGAAAAGAGTTTTTAAACATCAGAAATTTTAATCTATCCTTTTCATCAAATATTTTTCATCACTCAAATCCTTCTTTTTATGGCAGATTCAACATGGTAAAATATGAAGAAAAGAATGATTTGATGTAAAGGTTGCAGGAGATTTTTAATGAAAATATTGTGTATTAGGAAGTTTTAACATAATATACTGTAAAAAGCCTGTCCATTGCTAAAATTCATTCATCATTTTTAAAATTTATGTTTTCTACATACAATTACTGTCTTCAGCAGATATCCCTCTCATCAGATAAACATACACAATTAACAGACACGCTTGCTTTCAACAGATTTTTTCTAATTTAAAAATATCTCATGATTTTATTGCAATTATAAATTCATAAAATTTGTATGTCCTTTACTTGTCGCACATAGTCTCTTAAATTAAGGGATGTATTGTTATACCAGGCAGTGCATGTATATAGAGATATATTACCTTTCAACTAAATTAGAAGTTAATTACCCGTCAGGCCTTAAATCAAAATTTGTTTGTATGCATTTATAACATAATAATTATGATGAGCAATGATGCTTCTTTCAAAATTGTGAATTGTGAATTTCATGGCCTCTGGTTTAAAACATGAACCAAATTTAATTGTTTGAAAGTTGTAACACAATACTCAGGTAACCTATAAGGCCTGTGGGCCTCTTGTTGCATTTCTTGATTATCTCCCCTTGGGACCAGGAAACTTGGCCCTTCTTTTTAACAATTTAGCAGTGAGGGATTGCGACACGGGACCGCAAAAAAAAGGAGCCCCGTGGGGATCCGGGTTAGAATAGGTCCTCAGTACCCCCTTGCTTGTCGTAAAAGGCAACTAATTGGGGTGGTCCTTCGGATGAGACCGTATAAATCGAGGCCCCGTGCCACAGCAGGTGTGGCAAGATAAAGATCCCTCGCTGCTCAAAGGCCATAAGTGCCGAGCATAGGCCTAAATTTGCAGCCCTTTTACCGGCAATGGTGACGTCTCCATATCAGTGAAATATTCTGGAGAGGGACGTTAAACAGTATACAATCAATCATTTAACAATATTAGAAATCTCTTTACTCAGGAATGCTTTGCACCAATTTTGCTTAACATTGGCACAGTGGTTCTTGAGAAAAAGTTGAAAATGTGAAAAGTTTTCAGATGGACGGACAAACATTGGACGTGTGATCAGAAAAGCTCAATTGAGCTTTCAGCTAAGGTGAGCTAAAACTAAAAAAGGGTGGGGGCATACAGTAAGTGTTAAGTCATACATACACCTTGTCCATTACTGGTAGCTTTCATGAAAAGTGAATAAATATGCATTTAAAAAAATCAATGTGAGAAGCTACATGTAAAATTAGTTAAAATTAAATGGTAGTAATCAAAATTGCTAGGCTAAGTATATTAACAATCAAGATATATGTAAAACATGTAACATTAGTTAAAATTAAATGGTAGTAATCAAAATTGCTAGGCTAAGTATATTAACAATCAAGATATATGTTTAATTCAATTACCTGTAATGAGATTCAAGTTCAAAGCCATATTTCCAATGGATGATTCTTTGTCATCAAAACTCCTATAAAAATCCATCTTAGTCTCAACACACAGATATTCCTTGAATTGTTGACTCAGAGAATCATTATTTTTGTTAAAAGTATGTCAGTTCAACAGAATTTTCATGACTTTGTGGAAGTCTGAAGAAAGTCCTTAAGGATTACACTATACTGTTCTTTTTTTTTCACACTCCCATGGTCTTTATTCTGATGTGTCTGGTTTCTCACAATCCTTAAATCTTTCTATTGTGGACTTGTGGTTACATGCTTCCTTTAAACTGGGTTGATATTATGTGTTCTATGATCAGATCCATCACAAGCTGTAGAACAGAGGTCCTTCTTCTTACAGGGTTTGTTGATAAGAAATGTTCATAACTGAAAAGACAAATTGATTCCCATCTATTAGAATGTTGCAGACCTTTAATGAAATCTGATGGTTACAAACAGTATTTAAGCTCAAATTTAAGGTGCATAATTGAAACATTACTAATTGTGAGTATAGCACACATTATTATACTTCTGTTAAAATGTTTCCTTTATAAAGTTCAGAGGGTAAAATAACTATTCTTCATAGTCTGAAAATTTCCCTGCATAAAAAGCTATACCCCGGGGTATAGTTTTTGCTACCCACCCCTCGGAAAATTTTCATGCAATGTTTGACGCCAATTTTGATTTCCAGAGATAAAACCATAGCCTGATGATGTCATAATGACTTCAGTAGCATTGTGACGTCATCAGGATTTCGGCTCATTCTTGCAGTATTATCTAACTCCAAAGAAAATTCAAACCTCAGAAATTATAATTTACATCAGTATAATAAAACATTTATCCCATGGTTGTGAGTTGGATAGCTCTTTCATCAAACCCTTGACAGGAACTATTCCCCTCGGGCAAGCCCTCGGGGAATAGTTCCTGTCGCGGGTTTGATAAAAGAGCTATCTCACTCACAACCATGGGATAAGTGTATATTATACATGCACTTATTTAATACCACGAGGTAAACAGTCAAACTATTGTCCCGAGGTAGTGGGGAATACCTTCGGCCAGAAGCGAAGGCCAAGGGCAACAGTTTCCCAGGTCTTCCCCACTACCTCGGGACAATTGTTTGACTGTTTCACCGAGTAGTCATTAAATAAGTGTTTTATTACTTAACCTACTATATATAATTAATTAAATTGGAATAAAAACACACAAACAATCAATAAAGAATTTTAACAACTGTTATCCACATACCAGTCTATTAATTAGTTGAACACAGAATGTAAAGATTAAATTAATATTTAATAATTTTAATTAATACTTAATAAATTGATTGTTTGTTTTTATTCCAATTTTAGTTAATGACATAGCAGGTAAATAGTGATGTCGTGATCATCAAAAAGCTTGAATATCACGATGACGCTTTAAACAGGCAACAGTTCATTCTGTGGCCCGGTCAACAGTTCGACTGTTTCATGATCATGCAAAAACATAAAATGAATCGTGAAACAGTTCAAAATGCCTAATTACATTTTATATAGTAGGTTAGGTAATGAAGATCTTTAAAACATCATCAGAGCGAGGTAAGGAGTTGATACCTATGTTGCAGGTTTGCAGGTTTGAATCCCACTGTGGGACGTAAGGACGAGTTCTTTGTATTAACCTAGTACGCACTGGCACAAGACAGATCCCTCATTGCTCAATGGCCCTGACTGCCCAGCGTAGGACATAATTTGCAGCTCTCCAATGGGAAGTTGTTGCATCTCCACAAGAGTGAAAAATTCTCGAGAGGGACAATAATTGATAAGCAAACAAAGAAACATTTTCAACTTTAGCTCATAATATTTTTTTAAAATCCCAATAATTAAAAGAATTTAGGAGCACAGGTGGCTTTCATTCATTTCATTGTACTTAATCATGTAAATTTTGTACCTGACTAATATTAAAATTTAATTCTATTTAAATCTTTGCTTAGTGTTCACATGGAATAATGCAAAAAAATTGATCTGTAGTAAATTAATTTGAATTAAAAGTAAACAATGTGCAGAGATTTCTGTTCATCAATACTTTTGTCTTTGAATATTTTTCTTAGGGTGTAAATATGTTATGTACCTTATGCTGAACATGTTGAAATTCAAGAAAATGAAAGAGATCTGATTAGCAGTAGTTACATGTAACTCGTTATTGATACCTTAATTTATACAAAATGATTTTCTCATTTAATTGTTCAGAGTGCTTGAATGAAATAAAATTCAGTAACAAGACTTCTAGGATTTCAATTCATTAAATTTTAGATCCCAGGGCTACAGAAGCATATTGCTGCCACTTGAAAAAAAAATATTGTAAGTCGTACGTACGCGATACTAAGTCGTATGTACGAGATACTAAGTCCTATGTATGAGATAATAAGTCGTACGTACAAGATACTAAGTCGTACGTACGACATACTAAGTCATACGTACCACATAATAAGTCCTACGTACGACATAATAAGTCATACGTACAACATATTAAGTCGTACGTACGACATTCTAATACTAAAATGTACGTACAAGATAATTTTAAGTAAGTATTAAGTCGTACGAACGACATAATAAGTCGTACATACGAGATACTAAGTCGTATGTATGAAATAATAAGTTGTACATACGACTTAATAAGTTGTACATACGACATACTAAGTCCTACCTACGAGATACTAAGTTGCACGAACGAGATACTAAATCGTATGTACGACATACTAAGTCGTAAGTGCGACATACTAAGTCATATGACATAATAAACTCGCTTGATTTGAGTTGTCCGTTGAATTGCAGAAAATTCAGATCAAACAAGTTTAGCACCTCTGCCCATGTCGAACGTGGGATTTTATATAGTTTATTTTATTTTTATCTGTAAAACTGTAAGTTTGTTACAATTCATAAATTATAGACTAGGAAGGATAACGATTTTATGCAGTATAATATATTGATTTTGACCTATGGACTTGCCTTTTTTCAAAGCCTTATTAATTTCGGGCTTAAAATGGTATCATTAAGAGTAAATGGCTAAGTTGCGAGTGGTATAATATGTTTGACCCATCAGTTAGTCAGTCAGTCCTTTTTTATTTCTTTATTTTTTTTATAAGCATAATTATTCTTAAACAGCCGCATAGAATTTCATGAAACTTTGTAGATGATTAGTATACAATGTTGAGATGTGCATATTACCAAAAAGTGAGGCACGTAGCAATATTATTAATAAAAATTTTCATTGAAATTGATCTAACTATATATTATTTCGTATGTATCTTGTACACATGACAACCAGGGGTAAATGTTATCTCGTTCGTACGACTTATTATGTCGTAAGTACGACTTATGTCTTACGTACGACTTAGTATCTCGTTCGTACGATCTAGTATTTCATACGTACGACTTAGTATATCATACATATGACTTATTATGTCGTATGTACGACTTAGTATCTCGTATGTACGACTTCGTATGTCGTACATACAACTTAGTATGTCGTACGTACCACTTATTATGTCGTACATATGACTTAGTATCTCATACATACAACTTAATATCTTGTACGTACAACTTCGTATCTCGTACGTACGACTTTTTATCTCGTACGTACAACTTATTATCTCGTAGGTACGACTTAATATGTCGTATGTACGACTCATTATGTGGTACGTACGACTAAGTATCTCATACGTACGACTTATTATCTCGACTTTTTATCTCGTACGTACGACTTACAATATTTTTTTTTCAAGTGGCAGCAATAAGCTTCCGTACAGGGCGAATTAGCCTCTAACTCCATAAAATACCATAGAATCAGAGCCCTTTGTTAATGTGTGCAGTATTAACAAGAGTGTTATTAATTTGTATATGAAAACTGAAATTAAATAATCATGGAGGGTAAAAAAAAATAGGGGGAGGGGAAAATACAATTTTTCATATTTTTTCTTATTCCATCAAAAAATAAGTGAGCAGAGACATCTAGTGTAATTGCATTTTTTATTCCTTTGAGGGGAAAATAAACCTGTTAATTTTTTTTTTCATTTTTCATTTACATTGTCCCTATATAATACTATAGGAATATGGCCTCAGACCAGTGAGTTTTCATAAAAAATGTTTTACATAATGGCAATGTTACCTTCTGACAAGAGATGTTTGTAAAACACATATGCCCCCCTCCCCCACAAATTGGAATTTTTTCTGAGTCCAAAAGGGCATATTTCTGTCAAAAATGGTGTGATCATACCCAAAACAAAGCCTGACCAAGATATTCATCTGAGTAATCTGTATACTAAATTCCATTTCAATATGTGCAACCTCTCCAAAGAAAATGAATGGAAACTGCAAATAATTGGAATTTTTTTAAGTCCAAAGGGCATAACTCTGTCAATTTTGGTGCGATCATACCCAAAACAGAACTTGACCTAGATATTCATCTGACTAATCTGTATACTAAATTCCATTTCAATATGTGCAATCTCTCCAAAGAAAATGAGCAGAAACTGCAAATAATTTGAATTTTTCTAAGTCTAAGGGGCATAACTCTGTCAATTATGGTGCGATCGTACCCAAAACAGAACTTGACCTAGATATTCATGTGATGTACCAAATTTCATTTCAGTATGTGCAACGGTTATGTAGAAAATGAACGGAAACTAAATGGACCGACCGACAGACAGACAGCAGCAAAGTAATATGCCCTCCCTTCTTCGAAGGGGGGCATAATAATCTATGCACGATTAATATCATATCCCCCTCCACCCATCCCCCCCACCCCCAAAAAATCCTCTCCCCAGCATTTTCCAGTGCCTGATATGTTAGAGTGGGAGGGAGTTAGAAAATTTGCAAGATTTCAAACAGCTAATTTAAAAAATCTCTGTTATTTATGTCTGTATGACACCCTTAATGACAGAAAAAAATTGAAGGATTTATACATTTTGTAAATGTTCAATCACAAGTCCATATAGCATAATTAATTGTATTCTCTGACTGCAGTTGGAAAATCTTTTCATTTAATTTGTTTTTAATCCCTAAATGGAAGTAAATCTTTTCATTTTTGAATTTCTGCTGTTGCATTATACCCCAATAAATGCATGTATAGTGTAAATTAAACCCCTCCTTTGTCTTTTTTTGTTTTGCTGAAAAAATTTGAATGCATATTGTAAATCACTTTTCATTCATGAGAACTTTATTTTCTCGTAATTAAGCAAGCCGGTATGCTCGCGAAAATTTCATTCTTAATACGTATAATAGAATTCCTTAAGATTATACTGTATAGAGCAATCATCACAATTCGTGAAAATTTTCTCTCGCTAATAAAGAGTCAATGACTATCTCACATTAAAATAAGATGTCGCGAAAATTAAGTGATCTACAGTATTCACACCATAAAAGAGAATTTACAACTGGTAGTTCATATTTGTTTAATATATTAATACATTGCATGGTATGCCCCAAAGAGAGCAATGGCCAGTGGTGTAGTATTAATTATCTGTCCTGTTTATCAATGGAAAATAGCTAAATTATGAAAATTATCGATATGACAGTCAGTTGCAAACATTTTTTTTATCCTATTCAAATAATTTTATTTTACTTCATTATCTGGACTATTATCAGATTATTGGTGAATTTCTTTGTCTTTTAAACTGAGGCTTCAATTTTTTTTAATGGCACAAGTAACTGATTACATACAGACTTTTAAATTTATTGATACTCCCAAATATTCGTCAGTCTTTGGCCAACAGACTGTCGTTAAGGTAAAACACTGATTCATGACTGCAGTGCGAAAAAATACAGGAAAAGGTAATACAGATCATGCTGATTTACAAACACATCATGAACATGAACTCAGATCATTAGAACTTTAGGTAATGTTTGCCTTTTTTCCCTGAGATATAGCTTTTCACAAATAAATGAATATTACAGCAAAACTTGTTTAGTATGAACACGGATATTGCGAATTTACAGATATAACGAAGTCATCTTGGATTCCCAGTTATATAAATTTAATGAATTTCTTATACGGTTATAACAAAGGACAAGATAGGGTAAGACCAGTATTTGGCCCCCGATTTTGGATGTCTTTCAGAATGATCCAACAGTTTATCCATGAAAACCTGTTTTCACCCCTGCCACAAAATGAGTGCTGGTTTTAAGATTTAGGATATACAGAGGTCACAGTGAGGTCAGGAAATAGGTCAATTTTCTAAATTTCTCATTTTCGTGCAAATTTTCACTAATTTTTCAGCACATTTTCTTTCGGAAAACATAGAGCACACGCTTGCCTATCTACCAACTTTATATATTTTATACACTGATATCAGATGCAGTATATGTGTAAAAATCTCAGATAGGCAAGCGTGTGCTCTATGTTTTCCGAAGAGAAATGTACCCCAAATATGATGAAAATCCACAAGAATTGAGGAAATTCGGGAAAATGTCCTATTTCTGAACCCTCTAGTGGCTTCCATGTAGCCTTTGAATCAAAACTGGTGCTTGTCTTAAAGTAAGCATCATTTTAACTTCTTAACTACAAACTATCACAGTTTTACCAGTGTTCTGATTTTTATATAAAAAATTCGGCTGTTACCCTATCTTGTCCTTACCGATATAACATGTATAATGAAGAAATTTTAATGGTCCCATTGTCTTCGTTATAACTGAGTTTTACTGTATATAAAATTTGCATTCATACCATAAACATCTCCCTGCTGTCTTCTGTCAGTAGCCATAACATTGATAGTTTCTGATCCGTTATCAATGTTTCTACATATTCTACCTGTAATGTATTATAATATTAGTTTTAAAACATGGATTCCATGATAAATAAAAAGTAGGGATGGTAATCGGTTAGAAAATCTTTAATCGGTTAGTCGGAAAAATTTTATATAATTTATTTTGGTACCAAGAGCGTCTTGTAATACTTTAATGTATACAGATCGATCTTTTGTCGTTATCGATTAAATTATATTATTAGAAAAACATTGTATAAGTTAAAATTCAGACAAAGTTTTGATTATGGTGACAATGAAGAATGAATATGTGTGACTTCTGCACTGGTTAAACATGTTAGATATCCGTGTCTGATTTCTCTGGCAAGATTCATAGTTTTCTTATTTTTTTCTTGTCTAACTATCGAAATTGAAATAAAATAATTTATATATGTACAATCATATAGTTTCCTGATCAAGATAATGATCAAAATGTTGCTAACTTCTAATATCTCTCTTTCAGTCTTCTTGTGTATATGAATACAGATGTACTTGTATTTTTTTCAAATGTGTATTTTAATTGATACGATTAACTGATTAATCGGTTGGAACGTCTTGCGGTTAACGACTGATTAGCAATTCTGTAATTGATTGCTATCCCTAATAAAAGGAAAATATTCTTTAATTAAAGCTGAACACGACTCGTAAATTGGCATACGCCATTTTCGATAGCATTATCTACGATACATCAATACTAGGGTATACTCGTCGCATTCGTTACACCTGACTGCTTTATTGTCACGGGTATTGGCGTGGAATGGCGACCTATGTTTGTGCTGGTAATCTTGCATTACCTTTGTTTATATGTTATTGCAGTTACGTTTATCTGTGTTGTTTGTATACTGCACTGACTTATACAACTATAATTGCAAATTTATTTGGTATCTTATTTTCCTGCAATAGACGAAGTATTAAGTTATTATTCTCGATCGCTACCGAGTTCTGTATAGCATACGTCCATCTTCACAGGTTTCTACTGATTACACTGAACAGTGACTAAGTTCTGCCCTATTTATAGGGGTCTGCATAGTAGCGAGACTCGGAAACAAAAATGGCAAACAGATTCCTTTTACGAATTGTGTTCAGCTTTAATGTAACTTACAGTAGTAGAACATGTAAAAGTTGCATCATATATTCATGAATCATCACGTTTTGTAAAGCCAAATTTTCATGCAGTGCACCCGCCGTGTGCTCCTTATCATGGCCTCAAAGTGGTCCCATTGCAATATTAATGAGTGCATGTCAATGAAAATGACAAGTATATATCAATCTACAAATTCTCAAACGTACGTACTACATTAAAATTAAGGCATGTCACTGTCTAAATGCACTGCATGACTTTGACATTATTATAAACTTATACAGCTGCATTATACCATCAGTTCGCCATGCAGAACTAGAAGACTACATTGATGCAGGGACCTATATCATTATGTCATTGGGAAAAGTAAACACCTACCCCCCCCCTTCTTTTCATTAGTGCAGGAATTCTTTATAATATTTACGCCTCAGTTGTATACATGTGATTTTTAGTTGACAGCTTAATATGTACACAATATTAACAATGATTTAGCAGCCTACATACCTATATAACCCGGACTGAACGTTTCCCCGGCCCATAAGTTGCATAACTCACATGGCGTGTGTAACGTATTTGTTGATCTCAATGTTTGTACGACCTACTTTATTAGTCTATTAGATTTCATGTACGATTTGTCTATTGTGTCTTCTGTGTGTTTTATGTTGACTTCCGGTTTAATAAATGTTGTTCTGTTTATCCTGAGTCTTTATCCTGCATCATCTGCCCCGAACAGGCACGAATATGAAACATGGTGGCAGCGGTATAATCTAAAGAACCTAATCTTTTGCGATACCTAGCCATGGATAAATTGAAAGCTCCGGAAACGCTGAATTTCGATGCTACAGATTTAGCACACACGTGGAAAAAATGGAAAGAAGAATTCTCGCTCTATGTTGACCTAGCTATGGCAGAATCAGAGGAGAAACAGAAGGTGAAAATGCTTAAATACCTTATCGGAACACGTGGAAGAGAAGTGTATGACACACTAACATTCACAGATACTGAAGATAACAGAACTTTGAAGGTATTTTTGAGAAGTTCGATGCCTATTGTAACCCTATGAAAAACGAAAGTGTGGAACGATACAAGTTTAATTCTAGGAATCAACAAAGTGGGGAAACAATCTACAGTTATGTGACTGAACTTAAGCTTTTAGCAGCACATTGTGGCTTTGGCGATTTAGAGGAATCGTTAGTCCGTGACCGCATTGTTTGTGGAATTAGAGACTTGCACCTACGGGAAAGACTTTTACGTGAATCGAACCTAACACTGAAAAGCTGTCTTGATATATGCAGAGCATCAGAATTGTCAAAGGAGAGAATGAAGGAGATTGAGACTCCAACAGCAGCAGAAGTACACGCTCTGAGAGGAAACGGCTACAAACCAAAGACTAATCTGCGCAGTGCTCAAGCGACACCAAAATTGTTAGCTAAAAACTGTATGTATTGCGGACGTAAACATGAAGCTAGCAAACTCAAGTGCCCAGCCTATGGAGAAACATGCCACAAATGTAAAAAGAAGGACCACTTTAAAGCGATGTGTGGACAACATTCAAAGTCAACGCAGAAGTCTGGACAGAAACCAGGTAAATACAACAGAAAATTGCATCAAGTTACTGATAAGGACTCAGACTCTGACTCTAATGAAAACTACTATGACACAATCCGAAGTGTCACGTCTGAACCAAAGAAACATGTTTATGCAACTATGAATATCGGCAAAACACCCATAAAGTTCCAAGTCGACAGTGGCGCAAGTTGTAATGTTATTCCGATAAGCAAGCTAGATGAGAGCGGATCCTACTACAAGCTCACCAAGTCAACAACTGTACTAACTACATACGACAAGTCTCGGATCCAGCCCCTAGGAAAAACAAGTCTGAAACTTGTAAATCCCAAAACCAAAGAACTCTATGACACCGAATTCGTTGTAGTGAAGCAGGACACAACACCAATACTGGGCAGTCAGACCATTCAAAGGATGAAACTAGTAACTATTCATTATGACAACATTCTAACTGTTACTGAGGAAACATTAACAGAAGAGTATGTTTTCAGCGAATACAAAGATGTGTTCGATGGTACAGGATGCTTAGCAGGGACATATTCACTCCAAACTGACCCATCGATAAAACCTGTAGTCCATCCGCCTAGGAAAATTCCAGTAGCTCTGAGGGACAAGCTCAAGACAGAGCTGGAACGGCTTACAGAGAAAGAAATAATTACCCCTGTTACCGAACCAACACCGTGGGTAAACAATCTCGTCATTGTGGAGAAGCCTAACAAATTAAGGATTTGTCTTGACCCTCGTGATCTGAATGGGGCCATTCAGCGCAGCCATTACCCAATGCCCACAGTCGAAGAACTCTTACCAGACTTGAACAAAGCGAAGGTATTTTCTGTTGCCGATGCCAAAAATGGATTCTGGCATGTTCAACTTGACAAGGCCAGTTCAATGCTAACAACCTTCAACACACCGCATGGTCGCTATCGATGGCTTCGAATGCCATTTGGACTAAACTCAGCGCCAGAGGAATTTCAGCGGCGACAAAATCAGACTGTAGAAGGACTGCGTGGAGTACGTTGTGTACATGATGATATTCTGATCTTCGGAGAAGGCTCGACTGACGAGGAAGCTTATCGAGATCATGACCGTAATTTCCGAGCACTTATGGAACGCTGTAGGGAAAAGAATCTGAAACTAAACAAGGAGAAACTGAAGTTTAGACTCAAAGAAGTTCGGTTCGTGGGACATCTACTGACCAGTAGTGGAGTTCGTGCTGACCCAGACAAGGTCAAGGCCGTGAAAAATATGCCCACACCCACTGATGTGTCAGCTGTACGACGATTTGTAGGTTTCGTAACCTATCTCAGCAAGTTTCTTCCCAGGCTTAGCGATCTTTGTGAACCTCTTAGAAAACTGACTGTTCAAGATGCAGAATGGAGCTGGCTTGAAGCCCATGATAAAGCCATACAAGAGATCAAGACACTAGTTTGTAAAAGTCCTGTCTTGAAATATTATGATCCTAAAGAGGAATTGACACTCCAATGTGATGCTTCGCTAACAGGATTAGGAGCGAGTCTATTGCAAAATGGACAACCAATAGCCTTCGCAAGCAGAGCTCTCACGGATGCAGAGACCCGTTACGCTCAAATCGAGAAGGAAATGCTAGCAATTGTATTTGGCTTAGAACGTTTTCACCAGTACACCTATGGACGCTTAGTACATGTGGAAAGTGATCATAAGCCTCTAGAATCTATCGTGAAGAAATCGCTATTAGCAGCACCCAGACGTCTTCAACGAATGCTGCTCCGGTTACAGCAGTATGAGTGTACGATTTCTTGTTAACCAGGAAAGACTGTACATGTATCTTGCAGATATATGAAGCCGAGCTTACCTTAATGAAACAGGGACAACAAGCTTCGAAAGGGACTTTGAAATTATAAACATGGTTCAGTACTTACCCATGACTGATGTTAGACTTTCCGAGATTCGCAAGCACAGCTATCAGGATGAGTCATTACAGGTTCTCATGGACGTCATACTTCATGGGTGGCCATAGAAGCGAGAAGTCCCTCACCTTGCAAAACCATATTTCGACTTCAGAGATGAGCTGAGTATTCAGGATGGAATTCTATTTAGGGGTGAGCGTGCAATAATCCCTAAAGCAATCCGCTTAGATATGATGCAGCGAATACATTCCTCGCACTTGGGAATTGGAGGATGTCTTCGCCGAGCAAAGGAGTACGTTTTCTGGCCCGGAATGCACTCTGAAATTTCTCAGTACATACAAAGTTGTGAAACTTGCCAGATGTTTGAAACCAAACAACAAAAGGAAACCCTGATACCTCATGATGTTCCAGACAGACCTTGGACGAAGGTTGGAACCGATCTGTGCTCATTTGCTGGAAATGACTATTTAGTGACTGTTGACTATTTTTCAAATTTTTGGGAAACAGATTTCTTGGAGAACACAAAACCTACAACAGTGATCAGGAAATTGAGGAATCATTTTGCTCGCTATGGAATCCCAGACATTGTCTGTTCAGACAATGGCCCTCATTTCAGCTGCAAGGAATTTGCTACATTCGCATTGGAATACGAATTCCAACACATCACGTCATCACCAAACTATCCGCAAAGTAACGGGAAGGTGGAACAGGCTGTGAAATCTGCAAAGCGTATAATGAAACGAGCTCGCAACTCTCAACAGGATGTCTACCTCAGCATTCTTGACTTCCGAAACACACCAACAGAGGGAATGCAGAGTAGTCCTGCACAGAGATTAATGTGCCGTCGAACAAAGTCGCGACTACCAACAACCCCAGCTCTTCTTGAACCAAAAATCCCAATGTCTGCACATGCGGAAATCAAGCACAACAAGCATCAACAATGCAAGTACTACAATAGAAACGCAAAGGACCTACCTGATTTAGAACATGGACAGCGTGTCTGGATAACACCAAAACGAAATGATCCAACAAAATCGTGGACAAAAGGGACTATTGCTAGCAAAGTGAACATTCGGTCTTACGAAGTAAACACAGACGAAGGACAGTCGCTTCGCAGAAACAGGAAAGATATTCGTATCCACAGAGGTAAAAACGAACAACCACGACAACCTGTAGACCTTGATATACCCGATTCGAAACTAGATGCAGACAACCCAAACACTGACAAATCCGACCAGTCGAAGGAGTCCGTTCAAACACGCGAACCAATAGTGTCCAATGAAACACATGATCATCCACAAATTCATATTCCACAACACACCAGATCAGGAAGGATTGTAAAGTTACCATTGAAATACAATGACTTTGTACCAACTTGACACTGCCATGGCTTAAATGTATATATGAAGTTTTGTAATGCATGCTATTATATGTCCATTTAGTTTAAAGACAAGTCTAGTCTCAGATACATTCTAGTCATACTAGTCATATGTCAAATTTGTTAGAATCAATTGTAGTCAAGATACATTCTAGTCGTATGTCAATTTAGTTTAATATCAGTCTATCTTTGAAATATGTTCTAGTGAAGTTCTATTTTTATTTCTTAAAGAAAGAGGGATGTAACGTATTTGTTGATCTCAATGTTTGTACGACCTACTTTATTAGTCTATTAGATTTCATGTACGACTTGTCTATTGTGTCTTCTGTGTGTTTTATGTTGACTTCCGGTTTAATAAATGTTGTTCTGTTTATCCTGAGTCTTTATCCTGCATCATCTGCCCCGAACAGGCACGAATATGAAACAGCGTGATTGACTCTACTTTCGTTTTTAATATGAAACTATGACACATAAACAAGATGCGAAACACAGGAAACATTTAAAATTTCTGACAGTATTGCACTATACAATGCAAAAGATCAACGTTGTTCGTTAAAAGTGAAATAAGCTATAGATACACGTGCATGCAGAAATAGTTTCTCTCCGCGAGTACAACATTGAACATATGCGGAATGTGTATAGTGACATGCATAGATATAAAGAAAAGGTTTTAACATTAATAATAATAATTTTTCGCCTATTGGATTTAATCATTTATATTGCAATCATGCAGCGATGCATATAGTAACTTATACAGCCTACATACCGTCGGCAAATTCTTGAGATTGAAGACAATAATGTCAATCACAGGACACATCCTGTACTCATTCATTCATAGCCCATATTTAAATACAAAAAAAAATCTTTATTTATTTACAGACTTACCTTTATAACAAAGTTTACTTCGTCCCCATGTAGGATCTACACATGGTAGTATGACAAGTGTGAAACGGGTACTGTATTATGATGTCATTTATGACGTCATTTGATGTGATGAACATGCGCACTCGCAATGTGTGTAAGTCTCGCCGAGAAGAAAAAACGATGGATCGATGGTCATCTCATACACACTGATTACACAGATCTCATGCATACGGTCAAATTAACACTTCATTTTTTTTAAATCGGATGCATCCTAGGACATTTTCAAGTTGATTTATGAAAAAATCTAAGTGAACACCACCATTTCGTGTTCATTTGGATTTTTGCGTGTTCATTTAAACGCGTGTAGTCTAAACCACGTGTTCAATTGACAGGGTTTACAAACACACACACACACACACACACACACACACACACACATACATACATATATATATATATATATATATATATATATATATATATATATATATATATATATATATATATATATATATATATATATATATATATATATATATATATATATATATATATATATAGATATATATATATATAGATATATATATATATAGATATATATATATAGATATATATAGGGAAAATGTTGTAGAAGTCCATGGTATAGGTTAAGTTATAAATCAAAATTAAATCCAAGATAAACAAACAAGTTTACGTTTAATTTTTTACACTAAGCGCTTTCGCCGTTACGGCTCTTCAGAGTGTAACAATGATAATAAAAACAATACAACTTCGTTGTTATGACGTCGTTATTATGACGTCACAAAGGCAGCGTTATACATTGGCACAGGTAAATGTCAAAAAAGCGCCAAATGTATAGAGTTAAACACATATACATTGTAATAAAATGGAACATTTCTTTAGAGGATATGGAGCTAAAATGTTCAATTTACATTTAATTTAGGCTTAAATAATTTAACAAAATAATCTTCCTTGGCCCTCCGTAATTGTTCATTTTCTTCTGTGATTTTATAAAACGGAAATATCAAAAAGTTTCCATTCGCACATGAATCAAAATGTTCACTGCAAGGTGTATTCCTGACGGAGGGGTCTCGTATTTGTTGTTTATGGACTCTTACACGGTCAGCTAGTTTGTTACCGGTCTGTCCAATATAGTCTTCCCCGCATGAAGTACAAGTCATACAGTATATTAAATTTCTAGTTTTGCATGACATATTCGCATTGACGGTAAACGTTTTACCACATTTAAATGAGAAATTTTCTACAAATTAAGGGAACAGCGATGGGCACGAAAGTTGCCCCAACCTATGCAACCCTAGTTCTCGGTTTTTTAGAAGAAAAACTGTTTAACGAAACAGAGAGACGATTTGGAAATCCTTTTGCGCAATACATACAATTTAATTGGAAACGATACTTAGATGATTGTTTCATTTTTTGGACGAGATCTACTGAGGATTTACAAGAATACCATACCATTCTTAACAATCTACATCCTTCTATTAAATTTACCTTGGAAAAGAGCAGATTAGAACTACCCTTTTTGGATATTCTTATAATTAAGGAGGGTCGCAAAATCATAACAGATTTATACTACAAGAAAACGGATTCCCACCAATATCTCGTATTTAATTCTTGCCACCCGTCACACGTTAAACGTAACATACCTTTTAATATGGCAAGACGTGTTTGTACCATTGTCATAGATGAAACCAGAAGAAATGGCCGTCTACAGGAATTGAAAACATTTTTGCTCAGACAAAAATATCCTAACGACTTAATAGATATAGCAATTGAAAAGGCCAAGTCAATACCGACTGCAGATCTCCGTTCTACTAGACGAGGACGCCAGGAAAACAATAAGGAAATCCCGCTGGTCGTTACCCATAACCCACGGAACCTTAATATATATAACTCCGTAAAACAGTGTTTTCCTATTTTACAGCAATCCCAAAATTTAAAGGAATTAATTGACCCGAAGAGCATCATCTATAGCCGACGCCAACCTCCAAACCTAAAGAAACTCTTAACAAGAGCCAGATTCTCATCAGATGAGGAAAAACGCACTGTAGCCAAATGTATGGATCCCCTGTGTGGAACCTGCCCTTATTTAAAAACCGGAGAAAAGTTTACATTTAAATGTGGTAAAACGTTTACCGTCAATGCGAATATGTCATGCAAAACTAGAAATTTAATATACTGTATGACTTGTACTTCATGCGGGGAAGACTATATTGGACAGACCGGTAACAAACTAGCTGACCGTGTAAGAGTCCATAAACAACAAATACGAGACCCCTCCGTCAGGAATACACCTTGCAGTGAACATTTTGATTCATGTGCGAATGGAAACTTTTTGATATTTCCGTTTTATAAAATCACAGAAGAAAATGAACAATTACGGAGGGCCAAGGAAGATTATTTTGTTAAATTATTTAAGCCTAAATTAAATGTAAATTGAACATTTTAGCTCCATATCCTCTAAAGAAATGTTCCATTTTATTACAATGTATATGTGTTTAACTCTATACATTTGGCGCTTTTTTGACATTTACCTGTGCCAATGTATAACGCTGCCTTTGTGACGTCATAATAACGACGTCATAACAACGAAGTTGTATTGTTTTTATTATCATTGTTACACTCTGAAGAGCCGTAACGGCGAAAGCGCTTAGTGTAAAAAATTAAACGTAAACTTGTTTGTTTATCTTGGATTTAATTTTGATTTATAACTTAACCTATACCATGGACTTCTACAACATTTTCCCTATGTAATAACTGGTATATGGAAACAGGATGACACAAACAAGAGCTAGATCGGCAGCAAATATGGACAACACCCTTGAGGAAATAACAGGTAAACTCTTTACCTTAGACGACAAAATTGAGAAACTTACTGATATTGTCGAGAAATTAGAGAGACATATTCAATGTTGTGATGACAAACTTAACTTTCTTATTAATGATTGTGCTGAAAATTTTCACAACATGGATTTATCAAAGAAAAAGGAAAACATAAATTACAAATCTAATGTGGATTTCATTCTACAAAGTAGATATGACAACAATATCATTTCTACAATGTATCGAGAAAAACGACAAATGATTCAAACATGGAGAAAGAATCTTAATGAAAGAAGACAGGCATATTGGAACGCCATTAGATGTGAAAATCTCGCTGATACATACGAGAAATGGAGAAAACAAGAAGATGTTATTCTTCCGCGGAAATTCAGGATTAAATCAATCAATCAGGAACCTGACGAAGAAACAAAAATTAGGTTAAATTTAGCCATCCAGAAATTTGACGCTGAAATTACTCTCCTACGAATTCGCGTCCCGAAGTATCAAACCAAGTTTGAGGAATGTGATTCAAGAATGGAAAAAGAAATTTCAGAGAAAACCAACGCAGATATGAAAGCCAAACTTCTTGATCTATGGAAAACAGAAGTGAAATATGAAATGGATAAATCTGCAATGATTCTTAAGAGAAAGCAGGAGTGGCTCAATAATTATGAGAAAAATTACGGGAAAGAAGTGATGAAAAATTCCCCCCCAAAACAAAAAAATCATAGGAACAAAACCAATGGAAATAAAAATTCCGGATATAGGAGGGAAAACCAATCTTCTTACGCTGATGCTGTACGTAATAATGAACCACAAGGATTCAATTTTCGTGCTCAAAAGAACAACTTTTCAAATGAGAACAGACCAGTTAATCTTCACAATAAGAATAACCAAATGAGCAAGAAAAACTCAGCAAATATGGCGAGAAATAAGAATAACCAAAGAATGACACAACCAAACAATTTCGGAATAGGGGATCGAAATTGGAATAAACCCCCTAAAAGAAACCAAGGATGGCTGAAAAAACAGAACAGTTTACACAATTCTAATAGTAAACAAGTAAACCAAACAAGGAATAATTCGGAAAATAATTTTTTGTGGAAAGGACGCTTCCACAAGGGCCGCCAAAAACCATTCCGATTTCTGCAAATCTAGACGAATCAGAAGTAAGTCAAAATCAGAAAATCGATGTAAAAATTGTTAATTTATCTCGGAGAGATATCACAGAAGATGAAATGAAAATTCTAGATAGGGGTTTGAAATTTACGCCCACACCAAAACAGGATAATGTGGATCTCATAAAAGATACCGAGGAGTTTTGTCGGAAACTTAGACTTAGAGAATATTTTCAAAATGAAGAAAATACGGACGAATCACTTGTGAGAAATAAAAGTAATTTCAAACCACCACCAAATAGGGATAAACATTTAGATGAATTTATCAGATGTTTGCAAAATTCTGCCAGAAGTAATGACATCTCCATGAAAACCCATATTAAGGATAATATCACTAGACGGGAACGAGAAGCTATCAAAAGCCTTGCAAATGATAATTCTATTATTATAAAGGAAGCAGATAAAGGGGGAGCAATTGTCATTATGGATACGGATCATTACAAAGAAATGGTGTCGGACCAACTTAATGACAACAATTTTTACGAAGAATTAGTTTCTAATGAAGACAGTAAAACCATGCGCAGGATAAGGAAATTTACAAATAATTTTGCGGATAATTTAACCAAAAAGGAAGTGGATTATTTAACCAATTTTGAAATTAAATCTAGTAACTTTTATGGTTTACCAAAGATCCACAAATCCAAAGAAATACAGAACGGACTTGAAGGTAAAAACTCATTATATATAAAATTACCTCGACCAACGATTTAAAACTTAGACCAATTGTAGCAGGCCCTACATGCCCCACGCACAGACTCAGCAACTTGTTGGATATACTTCTTAAGCCTCTATGCCAACTTGTACCAAGTTATGTAAGGGATGATTTGGATTTTCTCGGCCACATTCCAGATACAGTTGAACTAAATACTGAGATGGTTAGTTTTGATGTAACGAGCCTCTATACCAACATACCGCATACACTTGGACTAGAAGCAATCGCTTTTTGGATTGACAAATACCACAATCAAATTCACGCAAGATTTTCTAAAGACTTTATTCTAGAAGGAATAAAAATAGTATTAGAGAATAACCATTTTGTTTTTGACGGGAGAAATTTTCTACAAATTAAGGGAACAGCGATGGGCACGAAAGTTGCCCCAACCTATGCAACCCTAGTTCTCGGTTTTTTAGAAGAAAAACTGTTTAACGAAACAGAGAGACGATTTGGAAATCCTTTTGCGCAATACATACAATTTAATTGGAAACGATACTTAGATGATTGTTTCATTTTTTGGACGAGATCTAAGGAGGATTTACAAGAATACCATACCATTCTTAACAATCTACATCCTTTTATTAAATTTACCTTGGAAAAGAGCAGATTAGAACTACCCTTTTTGGATATTCTTATAATTAAGGAGGGTCGCAAAATCATAACAGATTTATACTACAAGAAAACGGATTCCCACCAATATCTCGTATTTAATTCTTGCCACCCGTCACACGTTAAACGTAACATACCTTTTAATATGGCAAGACGTGTTTGTACCATTGTCATAGATGAAACCAGAAGAAATGGCCGTCTACAGGAATTGAAAACATTTTTGCTCAGACAAAAATATCCTAACGACTTAATAGATATAGCAATTGAAAAGGCCAAGTCAATACCGACTGCAGATCTCCGTTCTACTAGACGAGGACGCCAGGAAAACAATAAGGAAATCCCGCTGGTCGTTACCCATAACCCACGGAACCTTAATATATATAACTCCGTAAAACAGTGTTTTCCTATTTTACAGCAATCCCAAAATTTAAAGGAATTAATTGACCCGAAGAGCATCATCTATAGCCGACGCCAACCTCCAAACCTAAAGAAACTCTTAACAAGAGCCAGATTCTCATCAGATGAGGAAAAACGCACTGTAGCCAAATGTATGGATCCCCTGTGTGGAACCTGCCCTTATTTAAAAACCGGAGAAAAGTTTACATTTAAATGTGGTAAAACGTTTACCGTCAATGCGAATATGTCATGCAAAACTAGAAATTTAATATACTGTATGACTTGTACTTCATGCGGGGAAGACTATATTGGACAGACCGGTAACAAACTAGCTGACCGTGTAAGAGTCCATAAACAACAAATACGAGACCCCTCCGTCAGGAATACACCTTGCAGTGAACATTTTGATTCATGTGCGAATGGAAACTTTTTGATATTTCCGTTTTATAAAATCACAGAAGAAAATGAACAATTACGGAGGGCCAAGGAAGATTATTTTGTTAAATTATTTAAGCCTAAATTAAATGTAAATTGAACATTTTAGCTCCATATCCTCTAAAGAAATGTTCCATTTTATTACAATGTATATGTGTTTAAC